TATATATATATATATTCATACACATATGTAAGTACACAGATATACCGAAGGTGAGGCCGAGACCTTTAAAACCAGAATAAAACCAGAATACCACGATAAAGTTAACAACACCGCTCTGTTGCCAATAATATTATCAACACCGTTATCTACGCTATTGCTTTCATGCCATCATTAGGAAAATGTATTACAGTCATTATTAGCAAAGATGGTAATGATAATAGATGTTAACAACACATTTAAAAAATGTATATATAATTATTAGAATTACAAATACTGTCATTGACATATAATTTGTTTTACATTACAATAAATCACAATATCAAAAAACAAAAACAAGAAACAAACAGCGAACCAACAAGATATGAACCAGATTAAAAGAAAAAAAAAGTAAAAACAGAAGCTAGAAAGAAAGAGAATAGAAATGACGCTGATGTGTATATATATATATACATACACACACACACACACACACACACACACACACACACACACACACACACACACACACACACACACACACACACACACACACACACATATATATATATATATATATATATATATATATATATATATATTTATATATATATTTTTTTACATGTCCACTTTTCTTCACGATTATCGGGCGCGGTGTCTTTTCCTCGTTTTTTTTTTTTGTTTTCTTTTTTTTTGTTATTCTGTAAAAAGTTTATTTTTCCATTCGTTTGTTGTTGAAAAGTATATCGTAAGGGAAAGTGAAAAAAACATATCGACAGGGAAACAAGCACAAACATTATATATACGCACATCACACACACACATACACACACACACATATATATACACACACATTTATATCTATTTACATACACACACACACATTGGTGTATAGATGGGTATACACACACACATAGAATGGACCTGTTTTCTTAATATATGTATATCTACATGCGCGCGCACCCACGTGTTTGTTTGTGCGTATGTCTCATAGAACAAGATAACTGGTTAATTACTTATCCTGTCACTTATTTTTCTCTCCATAGAATTATAACCGGTGACATATATTCGCTATAAAATTAGTATGACTGAAAGCCTATTCACTAAACCTTTCGCTTTCACTAAAGAAATAGAAAAGAGAAAAAAAAGAAGAAAATGAAAGCAAGAATAAGGAAAAGAAGAAAGAAAAAAAGAATAAAGAAGAAAAAGAAAACATGAAAAAGGAAAAGAAAACAGAAAGAAAGATAGAAAAAAAGAAAGAAAAAAATATCTAAATTCCCGATGCCAAGCGATAAAATTCTCGTACCATTAAAAAAAAAAATTAAGTCCGTTATCCTTCGTGTTCTCACCTGCCGTTTATTTATTTACTTTTTTTTCCAAACTACTTTCTAATAAACGCGGAAATATGCCTTTAATAGTTAGTTCGATTCGAGTAGCATCTGACTAACGAGTAATTATGTTTTAATGGGTTTTAAAACATTCAGCGCGAGGGAATGGGAGTCGAGGAAACATACATACAAATATATGTGTATATATATGCACACACACACACACACACATGTGTACTTACAGACACACACAATCATGCATATACACGCACACACATATGCGTGCGCACGCACGCACGCAAACATGCGTACGCACACACGCGTGCGCACACACACATGCGTACGTACGCACACAAGTGGGTGAGTACTCTCACAAAATCGTGCGTACGCACAAACGCATATGCGTAGACACACACATGCGTGCGTACAAACACGCACATGAGTGGGCACACACACACATATGCGTGCGTATAGACGCACACATGCGTCCATACACACGCACACACAAATGCGTGCGTACACACACACATGAGTGGGTACTCACACACAGACGCACATGCGTGCGTATCCACACAAATGCACACACACATACATGCGTGTGTACACACTGACGCACTGCGTGTGTACCCACACAAATGCGTGCGTACACGCACACATACATGCGTTCACACACATGCGTGCGAACACACACACTGCGTCGCACAAGTGTGTATACACACACACACGTTTGCACACACACACACACACACACACATACACACACACACATAGATGTGTACGTTTATATCCGTATATGCTTATACATATACAAAAGCATGCGTGTGCATATGTATATATATATATATATATGTATATATATATATATATATATATATATATATATATATATATATATATATGTATATACACACACACACACACACACACACACACACACACACACACACACACACACACACACATATATATATATATATATATATATATATATATATATATATATATATATATATGCACACGCATGCTTTTGTGCATGTATGCATGTAGAAGAGGTGAGGCCGAAATCACAATCTCTCGATAAGGTTAACAACACTGCTTTGTTGCCAATGATATTATCAACACCGTTATCTACACTGTTGTTATGTCATTATTAGCATTATGTTTTAAAGTCATCATTAGCATTGGTAGTAATGACAGTAGGAGGAGGTATTAACGCTTTATATTTAAAAAAATATATATATGTATATACATATATATTATCATCATAATTAGCGATATTGGCATTGATATATAATTATTTTACATTACTACTACCGTAAGTGTTATTATCAGTATTACTATACTGGGTATAACGACGATTCTCATATGCCTAAGCTAAAATTCAGTATAACTCAAAATCACACGCATGGAAACACATAAACACGCACGTGCACACACACACACACACACACAAGCACACACACACAAACAAGCATACACACACACACACACACACACGCATACGCACACACACACACACACGCACGCACATACAGACACACACACACACATGCCGGGCGTCTCCTTAGGCGCGGCGAGTGAGGCGAGGCGAAGAGCGTAATTAACTGCATAAGTAGGATATCAATCGTCCCTCCGCCCGGCTCTGTGTCCCTCCCTCCCTCCCCCCTTCCTTCCCTCCCTCCAGCCCCGCGCGTGTGTGTGTGTCTTTGAGGGAGGAAATTCAGCGTGAACGGGGGGATTAGTGTGCTAAGTCCCGCCGCCCCCCTCTCTCCCCTCTCCCTTCCCTTCCCTCCCCCCTTCTCCCCCCTCTCATCACACAATCTCTTACCCCCTCTCCCCCTCCTCCCCCTTCCCCCCCTTTCTCTCTTCCTCCCGTCCCCTTCGCCCCCCGCGTGTATATATATTTTTTTCTTTCTTCTTCGTTTTCTATTTCCCTTTTTTTCCCCCTAACTTCCCCGGGGGGGTTTAAAAGTTGCCAAGACGTGCATTTCTTTCTCCTATATTTTTTTTGTTTCCTTTTTTTATACATATAAATCCACCGTCTGTTCTAACCCTATCCGCGTTCTATATCCGTGGAATAATGGATAGAGAGAGAAATAAAAAGAGAGAGAAGGGAATGACGTATTTCTTTCAACGGCCAAAGAGAGAAATAAAGAAATAGAAGCAAACGCCAAAGAGAGAAATAGAGAAATAGAAGCAAACGCCAAAGAGAGAAATAGAGGAATAGAAGCAAACGCCAAAGAGAGAAATAGAGAAATAGAAGCAAAATAACCCCAAGAAATATTAAACTGCGCTCGTAACCCCCCCCTCCCCCCATCTTAAAGTGACAGATTCGTCAAGGAATGAGACGTGGAAGGGGATGCCAACGTCCAATTTACTCATAGATATTTGCTGGCATAGTCGCTGTCATCGAAATCGCCATGTGCCTTGTTTAAAAGCTCATAAGAGACTAAATTCACCTGGCTGCCTTACGAGGTGAACGCTTGAACGAGACCATACAATGACTTTTTTTTTCTTCTTCCATTGAATGAGTTTCCTGCCTTTTCTCGCAATTAATTTGAAGGTTTGCCAACCCTTCCGTCCGTCGGGTCCACGGGCCATATTCGCTTTAACGAAACACCGTTCTTTTAAACCTCTCTTGATTGTTTTAAACTGCTATGAATTATGTAGTTATATTAAGTATGTGGCAATTTATCGTCCGTACTTATAAGAATGATAATAAAAAAGTATGTGAGAAGTTAGCTTGGTTGGCAGCCCTGGGGATACGCAACGGCTGGCGCTAGCCTCACACAGGGTTCAGAGAAATCTTGGGAACTGTGCCTATCAACTGTAGAAAGTTGTCGACTAATATTTTTCTTACTTTAATTTTGTGGTTTGTCGACAAAGTTATGGTTTGCAAAGTTGAGTAAGTTGGTGTAAGTCTTATAACCAATTTCTTGTAATATATAATATAAGACAGAATGGCAGCGATACGGTGGTAATGTAATGTCAAAAAATGTAGTTATCGTACAATAATCTGGTGTTGCGGGCAAGCAACTGTCACTTGCCAAGCCTTGACAATCTGTTGTTAAGATCCCTGTATGTCAAGTCATATTATCATGCACACGCTAGTAAGTCATGCCGTTCAACTAATGCCTTATATTGTTCTTGATATGACTGATAATAAATAGCTATTCAGCTATAATAAAGCCATGAATGGGATGGTTCATTATAGCGAGGTAGTGAGGGGGCTATGAACCCCGCTTATAAGGCTGAACTTTATATATGTCTGCGTGGATATCTATGTCTGTATAACCCTCTAACTTAAAACAAATGTCCGCAGAAAAATTTCACTGCACACGTGATATACGAAACTCCATCATAATACAGAAATAAAGGTTTTGCAAAAATATTTAGAGGCGCTGAACTGAGTCCTCACAAATAACATTATGGTTCGGTCACGTGATCTCTGATAAGTTCTCGCATCGCCAAATCTCTCATTTCTGGCTGTTATTTCCCCGTATCTTTCAATATCTTAGTTCACGTTAAAACACACAGGTTCTCGGGCAATAAGAGAACCCGCTTTCCCCGTCGAGGGAAAAAGTTTAAACGAAAATTGAAAAAAAGTTTGGAAATGTCGAGTAGTAAAAAGAAATCGGCACTCGACATCCCCGGCCGGAGATCGCGGTTCCATGACGTCGTCTGCTTCAGTGTGCTCTCGGAGCTTGGTGCGTGTGGAACGTGTGGATTTACGCTCTGGATTTACCCCATTTTTTTATTCGACTGTCAG